CAAGCGACTTGACGGCACATAACAACAACATCTATCTATCTATCTCTACACATAATTGTATCAACCAAGCCAATAAAAATATAAGCCAATTAAAAAACCCTAAAAAACCGAAATACCCACCAAAACTACACACAACTCAATTAAAAACGAGCAAGGGATTTGCATACATATTCTTCAAAGAGGCCATACAATGGCTAAAAAGTACATTAAAAGATATTAAACATTGTTGTTGTTAAGTGCCGTTGAGTCACAGGCAACTCATTGCGACCCTATGTTTGAGAGTCCTCAATGCTTGGGTGACTTTCATCCTCTCTCCAGGTTCATAGGGTTTACGGAGGCAAGCTATTATGGAATTGGATGCCATTCCTCCTTCCAAGCTTGTTTTTATCGGGAGCTCCACCCCACTCTCTGTCCGCATTGGGTAACCGGCCATTAACAGATTTGACACATCAGTATCATAGTGTTCAGCCTCACAGCAACCACAAGTGACCACTGTACGGCAACTTGTACACCAGGGCTACTATATGACCTAGAGGAATGTCTGAACAAAAATTAAATATCCCAAGACCCTAGGCGGGCTTGACCTTTCAGTGTCTTAGCAGCCCGGCACTCCCAATTGCTGGGAAACTCCCTGCCCCAGACCCCCATTCATGTAGCAAGTCCGCTCTGCCAACCCCCTTGTGGGCCCCAAAGAACCACCACATGTGCTCGGAGTCCTCAAACCTACCGCGCCTCCAGAAGCCAGAGACCGGATCCCTGTTAAACATTAGTTATTAAATAAACAGGAAGTCAAGCCCACTGCTGTTGAGTCTGACGCTGGTGACCCTCCATCGAGTTCTGAAGCTGTAAATTTTTATAGGACACGACTACCCATCCTTCTCCTTCAGAGCAGCTGGTGGATTCAAACCTCAATCTTTTGATGAGCAGATTGTCACATTATATATTATGCCACTGAGGTCCATTGGGAAAATATGAATCAAAATAATAATAATGAGATCAATTCCCTCCCACTAGATGGCTTTTTAATAGCAGGAGGGAGAGAGATATGATAGATGATGATAGATGATAGATAGATAGATGGATAGATGATAGAGAAATAGATTAGAGAAATAGATGATAGAGAAATATATTAGAGAAATAGATGATAGATAGATAGAGAGAAATAGATTAGAGAAATGATAGAGAAATAGATGATAGATAGATAGACAGACAGATAGATTAGATAGATGTAGATAGATGGGGGTGCTGGCAAAGATGTGCAGAAATTGGAACCCCTGTGTGTTGCTGGTGCAGGTGCAGTAGAGCAAGTGCAGCAAAAAAGTGTGCGGTTCCTCAAAAGCTTAACCCTCAATCGCCGCATGACTCAGCAATTCCACTCCATAATGTACAGCTCAAACAGCTGAAAGCGGAAATGAACAGGTGTTTTATTGCCTTATTTTTCCACAAAAGCCGAAGTTAGAAAAAAAAAAAAAGCCAAACCCAAATGACAAACACAACAACCCCAAGTGCCGATCAACAGATGAACAGATAAGCAAAATTATTTGTACAGGACATGAGAGGTATGCAGTAATAAAAAGAAAAGACACATTAGTCCTGGGGGAAAGCAGAGGGTCATCGGAAGAGAGGAAGACGCAGCATGAGATGGATTGACAGTGAGCGAAACACTGGGTGTGAAGGTCTTGGAGCTCAAGATGATGGAGCAGGACAGGGTAAGGGCTTGATCCGTGGTTCTAGGGTCGCTGTCAGGTAGCACGGACTCAACCTCTAACAGACAGCAATACAGACGACCCTTGAGACATTATGCTGGGCGAAGTCAGGTGAACACAGAAGGCCACGTATTATAGGATTACATGTACATGAATTGAACAGGCAAATCCCCGGAGAAAATGGGTTAGGCGGTGCCAGGGGCTCAGGGAGGAAGAGAGAAGGGGGTTGGTGGGTAACGAGTGGTGAGTCTCTGGGGTGATAAGAAAGTGTTAGGGCAGCACAGATGCTGCAGTTGTCGGTGAACTCCGTCTCCCCTTCACCAGTTTTGTTATTGGAACTGGGAGCCCTGAGGCCGAGGCTGGGAAGGACCGGTGAGCTGAGATTAGGAAAAAGAATCACATAGACACTGGAACTCTGCCCCTCGACTGGGGTTCCTTCTTACACTTAGACACTGTACTGTGCTTGGCCATTTAGATTTCTTTTTTCACGAATAACCTGGGTACTACTAGCTTTTCGTGATGGTCTGTGCCAACCTTGAAGGCATTTGATCCTTGGGCATCTTTGACCCAGATTCCAGACCTGATGAAAGTTCTGGAAATAGTAGTGATGGTCATATAACATTATGAACACACTGATTAAAATGGTGAAATGGATGTTGTGTGGATTTTATAACTATTTTTTAAAAAATTTATCATTAACTTCAAGGAAAATTTACAGAGACTTTGGATTTCCATTAATTCATTGTTGCCGTTTTCTCCCTTCCCAACCCTCTCCCCCTCACCCCCAGTACACTACCCTCTCGGAAAAGTAAAAGAAAAATTCTTCCATTGTTTTACAATTCCTCCCCCCAGGTCCAGTCCATTATGCAGCCTTCGCTCTGGACTCCTGTCATGACAAAAATTATCACTATTTTTAATGAGAAAAAGAAAGTAAAAAAAGAGTCTCAGTCCTGGGGCTATTGGGCATTGTCCTTTGGCTCCGGAGATAGAAGAGCTCAGTACTAAATCTCCTTTCAGTTCCCCTCGAACCCTTCCCTGTATCTCAGGGTCCAACGCCAAAGTATGGTCACCCTCAAGTGCCTCTCTGTGACCATGGTAAGGACGTGATAATCGGAAAAGATACGTGTGATGCCCACACCCAACCTCTCATAGAAACTGCCAGTGCTGCTGAGCCAGTGGCCAAGATTTCAAACCCAGGTCACGGGGGAGTTTCTAAGCCCAACTCTGAGTCCAACAGGAGTTTTGAAATCTCCCCTTTCCCCACCCAAGTGAAAACGTCTTTGCCCAGGAATGCAGGAGAAATGTAGAGGACTCCGTGGTGAGGACCTCCTGGGGATTTCTGTTCTCCTCTCAAAACTGATGCCTACCGGGAGTTTCAAGCTCCCCCATGTTGGCTCCCTGGAGACAATAGGTAGATTCCCCCAAGTTCTACTGGGGAAACTGAGGCTCTGGCTTGAGGTGGTCTGGGGAGAATTTTTAGCCCTGGTGGCGCAGTGGTGAAAACCCCTGAGTGCTAAGCCAAAGTGGGGGAGGGTGAAGCCTCCAGGTATAACTTCCTTGGGAGAAATGCCGGAGACCCTGGCACAGCTCTGCTCCAGCCTGTAAACTCATAAGAGGGTTGCTTAGGTTGTAGTCTGGAGAGTTTTAAGGCCCCAACTTCACGTCCTGGAGAGAATCTGGAAGTCCTCCAAGCCCCTAATGTGGGCCCCTAAGAGCCCCCCTTCTACATTAGCCACTGTGGGGAGCACTGAGGAGAATTTCCAACTTCCTCACCTCCCAAGCTTCTGGCAGGAGCATTGGCCACTGCCATGGATTGAACTGTGTCTCTGCTTCACACCCACCCCCAAACTTGGCTGCCCACTGTTCCCCATATTGGGGGGGGCTGGTCTCTATTTTAGGGTCCGATGTTTCTGTTCTCCATTTTGCGATGGATTGCAAACCCTAAATCTCATAGGTTAATTAAGGAGACCTGATGGCTTAGCAGGTTAAGTGTTGAACTGTTAAGCGAAAGGTGGGCAGTTCAAACCCACCATGGGCTCCAAGGGAGATAGATGGACAGTCTCCTTGTATTAAGATTTACAGCCTCCGAAGCTCGCCTGGCAGTGACAATACGTCAGTAGGGTGGGGTGAGGGTGAGGAGTTGAGGCACCACTCTTTCTCAAAACGCCTTTGCTTGGGTCATATCTTTCATCTCATCAAGAGACAGAAGAGAAGCAGATAGAGGGGAGAGCTTGCTTACTACCACCGAGAAAGGAGAGGCAGGAGTGGGGCCGTCCCCGACGGGGGAGTGGAGTCTGGCACTGAGAACCTTCTAGACTAGGGAATGTTTGCTTGCCAAGGAATGCAGGGCTCACAGAGGTCAAAGGAAGATAAGAACCCTCCCTCAGAGCTGACACCCAGAGAGAAAGCCTTTCCTCTCGAGCCTGTGCTCTGGTGCCTTGAGTTCAGACTTGCAGCCTCGAGAAAATCTTTCTGAAAAGCACCCCCCTTCACCCCAACTGTGGTATCTTCTTCACAGCCAAACGTAAGGAGGAGGACAAGACTTACCACAGTCTGGGTGCAGTGGACTGCCCGGGCCTCCGCTTCCCTGAAGCCCTCCAGGGTCTGTGACAGCTGGTGGTTGAGGAGATGAGTGGTGTTCTGACATTCCCTCTCAGCCGCTAAGCCATCTGTGCAAGCCTTGCTGTTAACTCTGCTTACACAGCTGCTCAGGGGCACGCTCAAGCCCACCACCACCACCACCAACACCACCGCAAACAGCAGGGCCACTAGCCACATCCCCTTCCTGGGGTGCACCGTGGTGTCCTCTTTGCCAGTGATGTACCCGGTGGAGCAGTAAAAAGTGGGCGCCATTGGGAACTCCTCTGGGGGTAGAGAATTTGGGCTCTGGCGGGAAAGCAGCGCAGGAACCTCTCAGTTTATTATCAGCAGAGGGAGCCGGGCCCTGGCCAATAGCAGGACACGGGAATCCCCGGCGCGGGGCCGCTCGGGCTGTGTGCAGGGCAGACACTTGCAGTTTCAATTCCCGCTGGAGGAGGAGGTTTTGTTTCTCTCACTTCTCATCCTTTGGTCAATCCCTGGTTAGTGGGAGTTCGTGGGCGGGGCGCAGAGGCCGGTGGGGCCAGGTCAGCTCTGTCCCCTCCCCTTTTCCAGTCACTTCTCCGCGGCAACAGTCAGCAGTTACCGAGCGCCTGCTGCATGCTCGCCTTACGGACTTCACGATCTGCAGGAGGCAGATGGGGAAACTGAGGCTGCGAGGGTCAAGGGTGGACTGATGAACCTGCATCTGACTCAAGAGGCACGAAGGGGTGGGGTGTCGTGTTCAGGGGTTTCCGTGGCGGCCCAGCCCCCAGAGCGGTGCCGTGGAGGAACCCGAGTGGCGGGAGGCCGCGTGGGAGGCGCCCCCGGGGGGGGGGGAAGATGTTCGGGTGACGCCGGGCCAGGGGGCTGCAGTTCCCCGTCCACCCACCGGGGGGCGCGCTGGGCAGCGGTGGAGGAGGAGGCGGGAACCAGCTGGGCTGGGAGGCTGAGCTTCCCGCCTGTCAAGTGGGGCGAAGCCTGGGGCCAGCCTCTCCAGTACAGGGGGTCGGGTGAGAAGGGGTGAGCAATGCGCTTCAGCATCCACTGGGCACTCAATGGATGGCACAGCAGATGGATGATGCTTAGGTCACAAGGCCAGAAGCACATTTTGGGGAGCATAGTATTGGGGGACATTCAGAAGAGAGGCCAGGGCAGGGGCGGATTTGTTAGCCCATGTGAACAAGGGAGCCAGAATGTCCTGTGGGAAATCAGTCCAATTACAGGCTGCTGTCTGTTTGGTGAGATGACTGTAAAGGGGCGAGTTCCCCATCAGCAAGATGTACAAGCACGCAGAGTCTCTAAAAACAACTATGCCAGGGAGCCAACCTGTTGTTAGGTGCTGTTGCGTTGACTCCTAGCGACCTTATGAATCCTATGAACAACAGATCTGAATTTTGCCCTATGTTGTTGTTGTTATGTGCCATAGAGTCGCTTGCGACTCATAGTGACCCTATGTACAACAGCCCTAAACCCTGCTCTATCCTATGCCAATCGCACTGCCTCTGACACACCCATCCTGATTACCCCAGTCACCAAATCAATCCACCTCATAGAGGGCCTTCCCCTCTTGCGCCGTCCCTTCACCCTACCAAGCATGATGTTCCTCTTCAAGGACTGGTCCCTCCTTAAAACATGTCCATAGTATGTGAGACGAAGCCCCAGTATCCTTGCCTCCAAGGAGCAGCCCGGTTTAACCCTCTCCATGATGAATCTGTTTGTTTTCCTAGCAGTCCATGGTACCCTCAGTACTCTTCTCCAACACCACAGCTCAATGGCATTAATTATCCTTCTATCCTTTCTAGTCAATTAAATTGCCCTATGTGCCAATTTAGTTTTTTTAAATTCTGTGTGTGTGTGTGTGTGTGTACCGTCAAATTGGATCTGACTGGTACAGGAGGAGATTGTCCCTCCTTTTCCAGCAAAGCATCTGTTGGATTCGAAACACACACCTCTTGGATCACAGTGCAGGTTCTTGCCACTAGGCTACCAGAGCTCCCCTACCTATGTGCTATTTTCATCATCTCTGATATGCACAAGCGCACTGTCAATCCATCTTCTTGAGGGCTTCCTCTCTTTTGCTGACCCAGGTATTTCAAATTAGACTTTATTTTGGACCAGTTGTAGATTTACAGAAAAATCGAGAAGATTTAGAGTTCCCACAAAACTCAGCTGTTACTCCCAGCACCACTGTGGAATTAAGGGTTTATTCAAAGTGGCTTCCCCAGCCATTGCTTGACTCTGCCAAGTGGATGGGCAGGAATATACAACTAGGATGTGTTAGCCTTTCCACAAGGGGATTGGCGAGTATCACCAGTCCACAAAGGGATTGGTTGGTCTCGCCAATAAATTGAACGGATCCAGCAGCAGAATAAAATCTTCCCAGCCAATGAAAAAGAGCAAGAGAATATAGTGTTCTTTGCACCCAGAAATTCTTGCTCCAGCTGCGTCTAAGGCAGCAACAGACATGTCTGAACCAGAAGACCAACATGAGATGGAGCCACCTTGGTACTGCCTCCTCCTCAAGGACAGAACCAGAGCTAAGCTAAGAGCTCCGCCTAAACTGGTAGGACACCTGGAGCAGGGGGAGTGTAGAGGAGTGGGGAGCCAATACTGGCAGGACTGAGAACTTTGTAACAATGGTCTAAAGCTGCAAGGCTCAAGGCTGAGGTGCCTGCGAGCATACTTCAGATGTCATACTCACTATATTCTGCTACTAGCCTGGATTATATAACCTTTTGACATCCCCAGTATGGTTCTGTGTGGTCTGTGAGCGATCACATCAGGAATTGGACTCAGCAAAGCAGTAAGATTGGAGTTGAGTATAAAGAGGCATGGGAGCATGGGGGAATCATGTCTGACCTCAGGAGAACTGGTTTTGTGATATTGATGCTGTTGACAGGAACAGTCCCCCTTTTATGAAATTGATAAAGGTCAGATATGGCCGTCCCCATGTGGTCCTTGCTTTTCTTTTTTACAACATCCATCTAGTATTAGGATGGTATGTTTGTGAAAGTGAATGAAGCTATAGCAATTCATCATTAACTAAAATAAAAACCCCACTGCTGTGGAGTATTCTAGTGAACCCATAGACTGCAGAGAACTTCTGTATCCAGGGTTTTGGCTGTAGGTGCTACAGAAACATACAGCCACCTCTTTCTTTCACAGTACCACCAAGTGAGTTTGACCCACCAATCATTATGAGCATTGCTGTGGTTGTAGTTTCTCACTCATAGGGCCCTCTTGCAGTTATTGCTGTGTTTGAGTCTATTATTGCAGGCACCACCAATACATCTGGTTGATGGTCTTCTTCTTTTTCTCTAACCCTCCCTTTACCAAGCCTGAAGCTCTTCTCCAGGGACAGGCCCTTCCTGATAGTGTGTCCAAAGTATGTGACACACTCCCTGGGACTGTGGCCCTTAGTTGCCCTTTGAGCCTAGAACTAAGCCTCTTGTACAACTTGGAAGCAAACGACAGTCAGATCTATAAGGTGAACCCCAGGGTCCTTAATCACACAAGGTCACAAGGACAGCCTTTGACTAAGGACAAAAGTCAGAACGTAGGAAGGGAGAGATGGAGGGATGAGGGAAAACAAGAACCACAGAGAAAGTGGGAGCGGTGTGGACACAATGTGGGGATCCTGATCAATGTCAGAAAATAAACACACGTGAATGGTTCAATGGAACACCAATCTACCTCGCAAATTATCACTCAAATCACCATAAAAAGTTAACACAAGGCGTGTGAGACGAAATCTCGTCATCTTTGCTTCTAAGGAACATTCTGGCTGTACTTTTTCCAAGGCAGATTTGTTTGTTCTTTTGGCAGTCCATGATACGTTCGATGTTCTTCCACAGCACAGTTCAAGGGCATTCACTTTCACTCGGTCTCCTTTGTTCATTGTCCAGCGTTACCATGAATAGGAGCCTACTGAAAAGATCATAGCTTGGGTCACTCAGGCGCACCTTATTTTTTAAATTGACATCTTTGCTTTTTAACACTTTAAAGAATTTCTCCCCCACTTCTCCTCCCAGATATATTTATATATTTACTTATTCCATTATTTAGTCTTAGGTTAGTCATTGAGCCCAGACCATTTGCTCCAGCCAGGGGCCTCTTAGTCACTGATGTCCACACTTTACTCCGATTTTGTTCATTTTCCCAGTGTCCTTTTTCTGTCCCAGGACCCTATCCAGGATCCACATGGCATTCTGACACCCCATCTCCTTAGGCTCCTCTGGCCAATGAAATGTTCTCAGCCTGTCCTGGTTTGAAAGGTGCTGGCCACATGGGTGTCTTACAGGGTCACTCTCTCAGGAGGTGCCAACTAACTGCTCCTCATGATTACACTGAGGTGAGGGGGGGTCTGCAGAGGACATTGCAGAGGTGGTATCTGTGACCAGCAGTGGACCCCAACTCATGGCAACCTCATGTATGCAGAGGACAACTGTGCTCCTGGGTTTTCAAAGCTGTGACCATTCAGGGCAGATTGCCAGGCCTTTCTTATGAGGTGCACCTGGGTGAATTTGAACTGCTAGCCTTTTGTCTAGCAGTCAGGTGCGTAACTCCATACCCAGGGTGCACACTCACGCTGTCACTTAGCACTGTGATGTCGACTCTGATCATATAGCTGAGCTGTTGCCGGGTTTGTCTACTGTAGAGTAACTCTTCTCCCTTTTTCCATACTGTGCTTTTGGGAAGATATTCACTGTGTATGTTTTGAGTCCAGTTGCACAGCATTCTGGGATGATTCATAGGGTTTTATTAGCTGATATTTCAATTTTCATTACAGTAGATCACCAGGCCTTTCTCCCTGGTCTTAGTCTGGAAGCTCCACTGAAACCTGTGCCCACTGGATGACTTTGCTGGTGTTTTAAATACTGTTAGCGTCACTCCTGGCATCATAGAATGCATAGCCACCACAGGCCACCACACGAACAGATGGGTGATGGAGGGTGAACAGCCGCAGAAATGATTTAGAATGACAGCGAGGGAGACACTTTACTTCTTTTTCATCACTTATTTGTATCTTACCCTTTAGGTCATCACTTCCTTTCTTGCTTAAATGGTTTCCGCTTTGCCACACATAATTCGACAAAGATGTTTTGGAACATGGTTGGCAGGGAGGTGAGGTAGAAGAGAGGCTAGTTTAGGCTCAGGGTTATGTTTCACTTAAAGGATTTTATGGTTTATTAATCCTTTGGTGAAAAAGCCACACAGTCATTGCAGATCAAGTCACTGGAGAATGCTTCTTCCTTCTGTTAGCCTATCTCCTGCTACCAACCTCCAGCTCCCTTTTTGCCAGCTCCCACGTTGGCCTTCGCAGTCCCCCTGACTTTCTTTATCCTGTTCTTGTTCTCCATGCACTGTTCCCTTGAAGTCTTTGTCTTCTCCTACAGGCCAGGTCGTGTGAGTCTGTGTTTGGGTTCATTTTCCTTCACACAATCCAAGGAGTCGTGGGTCCAGCCAAAGCCCGTCCCAAGTCTTGCCTCCACCAAAGCGGGTCTGAATCCAAACACAAAGATGACCACAAAAATGTGGTCTTGCACATTTTTTGCCGGTTTTTCCCCTTGAATTTCTGTCTTAGGAACTGTTGCCTTCCCAGAGTGAGGAACATCAATAA